TGAGATAGAACTCGTCCTTATCACTTTCGGGGCACCCGGCTTGCGGTGCGTACACGGAGAGTATGGTCCAGTACCCCTCCTTCGTGTCTATCCTCACAGCCATGATCCGATCGCTGATCCTGTTCACTGCGGAGACATAGTCTTTGAGCGACTCCGCTACCGCTATGGCCACACCGTTCCGCTTGGTGTCTTCCCCATTGTAGTAGAGTTTGACACCTTCCCCGATTTCCCTGGCCTTAGCACCTTTCCATCGCGTCTCCTGAAGGCACCTGGATGTTCCTGCGCGTCACCTGGATGTTCCTGCGCGTCATCAGATCAGCAACCTCTCGGGACTTCCCAGTTAGCGATCCTACGTTCAGAGTCCCTATTCGAACTAGCTTCTTTGGCCGAGGCCGTTCACTCCTCGGTAGCCCTCGCATACTGACCACAGAACTCGGGCGGGGGTTCTGCGCGCCACTTCCGGGTGACGTCCTAGCATTTAACACTGATTCTTTTGCGACTTTTAGACATGTTTGGTGTGACTGGGGTGTTCATCAGCCGGCCTGTCAACCTGGGCCTGACGCTGGTACTAGAACCATTTTTGCAATTTTTGCAAGGCATGGTTTAGCCTCGGCAGGGATCGAACTCGCGGTTTTTCGGAGGTGCAGACATGAGTCTAACCTCTTAACCACTCGGCTATCCCTGCCTATTATACCTTTACATCACCACGTTCAAATTAAGAGGTTCAGGTTAGCGGGGCATAGAAAGTGGAAATACTATGATAGTTCTAGGGTTTTCCCTAGGCGAAAATTATCACGATCTAAACATTCGAGAAATACGCCGGCAAAACAATCTCTACGCCAATCTTTCTCAGGAAATGTAAGGAACGGCTTTGTCTGACCTCTTCGTTGGCATTGGACCTTTGCCCGGGTGTTCACCTCGGGTATGAACGGTTCCAGATTGCCATATCATTGGAGTATACGCCACGACTATGACGGATGGTTAGAGCAAGATGATCGATGTGCTGTGCCTAGCCAAGGCGCCAAGGCCATTAATAGATAGGGCGCTGAATTCAGTGTCATACTTTAATACTACCACTACTCATTTTTTTTGAGTGGCAACAACCAGAGATGCATCGTATAAACAAGGATCAGGGTGCATAAGCAATATATTAGCAAATCGAAAATATGACGAGTACAGGAAAATTGTCGAAACGGCAGAAATTGTGCAGGAAAGAACGCCGATAAAAAGTGCTTGACGGTGCTTTCCGGACCGCAGACGAGGCAAACATTCAAGCCGAGAGACAGTAATGATTGGGTTACCAGGTTATCTCAGAAATTGGGACTAGAAGACAAATAAGGGAGAAAATAAAGGATGGAAAGAAAATAATAAAAGAGCGATGAAAGAAGTTTTTAAGAAATATTCAAATCAGGAAATACACAGGTTCGTAAAATCATTTTTCTGTCGGAAATTTTACTTGAAGAAATTGCCCGCACTTTCCATCCCAATTCCAGATGAGAGATCGATACTAGGGCGAGACTAGGGGTAAAACTGTGAATCGGAACGTAAGTCGATCCATAAACACACGCACATCTATGGGCATCAAAGACCTTCAAACGAGAATGGAAGTCAAGTGAGTGGCGAATCTTGAAAAGGCTGAAAACGACGTGCTGTCTTTACCGAGACGTTTTCATGATTGCCATAGTGTTTGTAGGATAGCCAAATATAAATATACCAGATCGGTCCACCGTCAACCGCCGGGACCTTCCTTCCCTGCGTAGGCTTTACACCCCCGCTGTGGCCGTTTCCCTTGTAACACCAACACCCTGTGGAGGGGACGCCTGTGCAACAAAAAGGAGTTTCATGTAGTAGAGGGCATCGCCAATCATGACATGACGGTAGAACAGCCTATCAATACCTTACTGCACCTTAGGTTTATTGGCGATTGGTTTTTCGCCTCCCCTCCCCATCCTCCCCTCCTCCCTCCACTGCCCTCCAGCTGGGTCTCTGACTAATGTAGGAGGCTATCCGGTGATAGGAGAAGCTTCACCCCATCCGGCCTTTTAGTGCACAACATTTTTGGATAAAGGATAATAAAGTTCTTCCCTCCTATTCAAAACTGTATTCACCACACCTTGTTAGAGTGAAACTCACGCCTTGAAACAACTTCATGTAATCCTTCTTAAAGAAGAGCCGATTGAAGAAATCAAAGGATATGTAGCACCTTCAGGCAGGGGGGCCCCCTTGAGCTTTAGCCGTCATTGCAGACCAACCTTATATTTTAGGAATTGTGTGCAGACCAACGAAAAAAACGCTTTTGCTCCGCTTGCAAGAGAAAACATTTTTTTGGGAACTTTTCTATGAGACACTTCATTATTTTCGACGGTACTCTCGTTGTAGGATACAATCTAGCGGGACTTATGTGTTAGCCCTGTTCCCTAGCACTGAATCAACCAGGTAAGGGTCCCAACTTTCCATCTCTATGGCCGCCTATCATACACGGTGTCTAGAGCATCCATCGCTTGATTCAATTAAATGCGCGGGTCGCGGATTTGTGCGGCAAACCAAACCCATATGTTATCATCGATGCTCGTGAGTACTCAACCACGAAAGTATATTGTCCGAAACTGAATCACGTGGTAAAAGGCCTCCCGAGCAGGGTCAACCCTACGTTGTTACGAGTAACAACGGGGGGGTCGTACTCAGTTGAGCTTGGAGGGGGGGGTCGTACCCTCTCGGTGGCCGACAGTGGGATTCTTGGTATAAAAAAAAAAACTCGCGTTTTCGAGAAAATGGCTTGAAGAATACCCCTCAAAATAAAAAGTAACAACGGGACTAATTTTTGAACTGCTGATCTTTCAGGAACGCTTGGGTGCTCGTTAGAAAGCTTGAATCCTGTAGTTTATTATACGTGTTCAGCTTCCCAAATGAATGACTTTGAAGGAAGTTATGATCGTTTGAAGGTCAAAAAGTCGCTTTGCACAGAAAAAAGTAACAACGTACTAAATTTTTATTAAATTAACTTTCGAAGAATTTTTACCCATGGTTGGATAGAAAATAATTTGAATTTTCCAAATCAAATCACTTCGGCGCTGAAGCTCGAATATGAAGGAAGTTATAGCCCTAGAAAGAGGAGTGTAAAAATTCTCTTGCAATCTAATTTTTTGGCTTATAACTTATTCATTCCTCTCAGTATTGTGCTGTCCCGGAGCCTCATCAGGACCTAAATGTTATAAAACACAAAGAGGCACCAAAATTTATTCAAAAGAGTCCCAAAAGTTCGCAAAATATTCAAAAACTCCAAAATTCCAAAAAACACGAAAAGTTTCAAAAAGAACTCCTTTGAAATCTTCTGCTATATTTCGGTGTTTAACACCTTCTTCAGGCATGTGTATGCCTCAGCCAAGGATTTAGCTGCCCTTACGGGAGCCGCGCCGTTGGAGTGGAATTAATTCTTACTTATTCTATTTATTAATTCCATAATAACTCCCCTATCGATATGTATCAAATGCCTTCCACGCTTATCGCCTCAGCGCCTCATCGCATCCTCGCCTCGCGAGATCGCTGAATTGCAGACGCGCTCGCATATGACGCTATTGGGCGGAATCTAGTCAAATGCTGCACACTCACTTCGCTTTATCGCATCTTTGCATAATAGCCGAAGTCTCAAACTATGAACGGGGCCTTACACAGAGAAGTAGAATTTTACTGACCATGAACATATATAAAACGGAGCGATACATGCAAGCTCAAAGCAGAGAATTAATACGCGAGATATTAAGAAAAACTTCACTAAGAATTCACTTTTCCAAAACCGTTGCACAGTTGAGGGACAAACGTAATAGGAACGAGTTCAAACCAGTTTAAACAGATACTGCCAGAAATGTTCATAGTTATGTATAATTGTATTGAAAGATGTCAAACGAAAGACGAGCCAGAATTTCTAACTTCGCTCATACATATGATTATGACCACCAGATTTTAGAACTCCAGGATAAACACGCCGTTTCACGCCAAAAGCCAAAAAAACTAGCCTTACACAAAGTTTCATCTTGAGCGCACAGATTTCAATAGGTGTCACGGAAGAATGTATCAGCGCTGCTAATAGGGAACCCCCCTACCGATGTCGTTCGCTTCGCGGCCTTACCCCAACTACCAATTTGGCCTCCTTTTATAATTATGTTGTGGACGTAGAGACTTCGACGAAGCTTTATTGTCTTGACATAGACTTGTAGGGGAAATCCATCGTTCTCCTACACGGCGGGTTTATATACCAAGCACAAAACTAATATTCTCGAAGTTAGTCAAAATATGGCATTCCTTAAAAGATGATGATTAAGCTTTTTTATGCTTCATAGAAGAAGAATGTGAGAATATTAAAATCTGATTCATCAGGAAAATCTTTTATGGCTTTGGATGATTCAGAAGATTTTTAGAATTTCGTACCCTTATTCTGCAAAACTGCAGAAAACTCCCACAGCGAAAAAAACATGTTAATGATGCTTCTTGGAAAATTTTGGAGTCATAGCGAGCATGAGAGAGCGACTAATACATCGGATTATCATAATCATCACAAGCACAGTCAATAGAAAGGAAAGTATAGCTTTTGTAAGGAAGTTAATTGGAAGCAGATCTGGAATTCTTACCGACAAATTCTTTGAACTTGTTGGGTATTTGACTCAAAAATGTGGTATCTCTTGGAAGATCTCTTGTCTTTGCCTCCGATTGCAAGTTGTCTCTGATGAGGTCGTCGTCAACGTAGAGAAGTACTCCCTTCACTGCCAAGGAAACAGTTCCTCCGGGACAGGAAGCATTGCAAATCATGGAGACAGATGAAGTGTCGAAGTGGAATTTGAGAATGTTGAGGTATCCCGATGAAGTGCAAAGCGCCATTTGTGTTTGAGAAGGGCACTCGATATTAGCGGTTGTTTCAGTTCCGCTCGATTGACAGTAGAGAGTTAGTTCCGCTCCTGCAATACAGTTGTAGCAACCAACAAGGTCACTTGCCTCTATCGTACAGGTACTGTTGGATTGGCGAGCTGTTATTTTCATGTTTTCGGCCACTATATGTAGTTGTAGAGCAGATCCAATGTTCGTTCTGGCATACACTTTCACTTATCATTTCTGAAAAGATCTTAAAGTTTTTCGAAACCAGTGGCAAAGGCGACGGTTGCATCAAGTCTGCTACGCTGCCGGAGCTACATGAACAGGAGGCTTTATATAGTCCATGAGTGCACTGACAGGCGTTGATTGCGAACGAGCAGTTAACGTGTCGGCGTGTTCCTTCGTTGAACACTTGAAGCTGTCCCGCACTGTGAGGTGAAAGTTGTCCTCGATGAGCAGGCTTGATCACTGAGATGGAGTAGTCGGTTTCCGCGAATGTCGACGACAATATTGGTAGTTGGGGGACGACTGTCCCTATGAGACTGAACTTGAGATTGTTCCAAGCGGAAATTTGACCTGGGTGAAGTTGAATTGTAGTTGATACGGTCGAATCTTTTTGCCGGAGCGTTGCTTCCAATGTGACAACAATTTCCCAGCTTGGGCATGTAAATATTGTATAGATCGTCGAAGTGGTCGGAACTGCATATACTCTATAAAAGAGGCAACTTTTTTCGCACAGAAAGCAGCCGTCGCATGTTAGACATCCGCAGCTTGGTGTGCAAAAAGTGTATCCAGGGTTATTATTCGCCTCGAATGAAAATTCTTTGCTTTTCTCGGTTGGTGACATATTCTCACACGTACTTCTATCGCATGTTCCTGCCGAGTAGCATCTGTGCACAGATTCGGATACAAGTTGATGATCTCGTGTGAAAAATTCCACATTTCTTCTGCACTGGAACAGAATACCGTTGATTTTCACTGAGATTACGCCGATAGGTTGGCTTTCATGATCTTTCAGAGCGATGCAGGTTTCCTGTTGCAGGGGCTGTAGCGTGACGACCATTGCTTCGTTGAAAGTGCAAGTTTCGATATCATTCGATATGATACAGATCTCTTCGTGAGCATTCATAGAGACGACTTGTGAGCATCCTTTGGATAGGTGAAGAAGTGAAAGGACTGAAATAACGCAAGGCAAAAAACTGGACTTGCGAGTCCTGAGTTTTCGTCGACGAGAGGTGTATCTTCGTAGGTTCGGCGATTTTCGGTGGAGTTTGCAAATTGCGACAGTTCCGCACACTAGGAATTTTATGATGTGGAGCAGAAGTCCAATGATCTTGGTGATGTAGCAAAGCCATGGTATCAGTATGACGGAGAGTAGTGGCAAAGTTATGAAGAACATGGTTTCCAGGAGAGTCCAACATTGTGAGTTGTAGATTCGTTTCCAACAGAAAGTACATCTGAGTGTCTCACAAATTGGGTGAGCTTTGCAGGATACATGTCCGTTGTGCCTGAGTTTATCGTTTTCGTAGGCTTTGATTGAAACGGTATAATCGTACATGATGAGAGAATTTGGGAAGATTATGGCTTCCTTCGTTAGCTTCTTAGCATACACGCAGTAGTCGTTAACGCAAGCTTCAATTACATCGAAAGCTTCTTGAGTCGATAGCAAGAGACCACCTTTGATGCATTTCATTGATAGCGTCATTGTTTGTTCACTTTCTGAAAACGTCGAGGTTGCATCACGAATTTGTAGAGTGATCTTTTCCTTTGGTTCCGCTGTTGGCGTTCTTGGGTAATCATGGTACGGTTTCATTACTGTACCCCATGCTTTGATTGGTATGGATCGATAATCGTCCTCTTGACCTGATTCATCGATGACTAGAAGGGCGAGGGGGTTGTCGTAGGTGCAAAAAAGGCGAGCATTTGGATGGCATTCGTGTTGCTCACAAAAACGCGACGTTCCTGAGACACGTCTGTTTGGCCTTCTTATCCATCCTTTTCTGTCTACGCATACGAAATCGTTCTTATCTATATAATCCTTGATTCTTACGTTTAGATCTTTGACTATGAGGAAGCTGTTGTCGTAAAGCTGTATTTGGTTGAAAATCCCGATTCTTTTCGTGGTGTCACATGTAGACGTCAAGTTGAACGAACAGACGTAGTCGGGACGATAATCGCGAAGATGTTGTGGAATATTTTTCAGTTCCGAGTAGGTTGTTCTTGATCCGCGGCTGAAGGAACAGGAGTTTGTCCATTGCGGACATTTACACTCGTCACCACATAAGGTTGTTTGTGCTGCCGAAATATCGAAACGTACGTGTCCCATAGGGCAGGAAACGGGAAACCAGCATATGGCATACTTATTCAGTTGTTCGTACCTTGCGATTGCGATGCCCTTTGAAACGCAGTTCGTTGCGTATATGACCGTCTTGTTGATGTTTGCGCCTTCTTCTGGGCAGCGGGTATTCAGCGATGAAACCATGTGGAGTGTGAGAACAAAACACAGTAGAAGTGCATTTGGTAAGAACCTGGCTTTGGATCTTGTTATCATTGGGTGTCGCTGTGATTGCATCGAATCTTGATCAGGCTGCGGTCTTGTCGTGTTAGTCGGAGATGGCTGTTGATTTCTCGTTTCAGGAGGATGAAGCTCCAATTTGTGAACCAAGTTGTTTGGACGAGTAATGACTTTCTTTGACGGGAGACGAATTTCGACGGATCTCTTGAAATCGTCCTGGGATCCGATGACTTCCCCCATTTTCCATTGTCCACGATGTAAAGAAGAATCGTGTATGATGACGTAATCTCCTTTTTTGGGTGCATTCTCTTCGTGTGATCGAGGCCTTTTGTGATCGAATTTGAAACTTTCGCGGAGCGACGATAGGTATTCTTGAGTCCATCTTCTCCAGAAACTGGTGACTAGCTGTGAGGTACGACTCCATTCTCGTAGTAGCGTATCTCGTGTAGTTTCTAGTGGCATCCATTCGTCGTCATCTTCCAAAGGTTGTGGACCATTGAGCCGAGCATGGGGTCGTACGAAGTCGATTGGGCGTAGGGGAAAGAAGCTGATGTCATCAGTGTAGTACGTTAAGGGTCTGGTATTGACAATTGCTTCTGCTTCCTTCGCAATGGTCCGGATGTCTTCAAGTTCGAGGAGACGATTAGAAGTCGCATTTTTGAACGATCGTTTGAAAATATCAATCATCTTTTCATAGATTCCACCCTGCCAAGGACTTAGGCTGGGGATGAACTTCATTTGTATTCGTCTGGTGGCGCAGAAGTCGACTATGTCCTCATCGATGGGTGGATCCGGAATTGAAGCATAGCATTGATCGACGGTTTTGAACGACTGAGCATTGTCACAGATAATCCAAGTTGGACAGCCGAAGGTTGCTATAAATCTGCGCAAGCTATGAAGAACAGTTGAAGCGGTCATGTCTAAGATGACGTCGACATAGATGGCACGACTGTTGAGGCATGTGAGCAATATCATCCAGTATTTGTCGGCGGTGTTCTCCTTGGTGCGATATTGCAGAGGACCAAAAAAATCCATACCGACGTTTTCGAACGGGTACTGCGGGGGATTCACTCTTCTTTGAGGATGGCAGGGGAAGGGCGGCAGGGAATACGGTTTCGCGAGGTTTCTCTTGCACTGGAAACAGTTGTTGTAGAGTACTCTTTTCACTGCAGCTCTCCCTTTCGGAATCCACACACTTTGTCGAAGGATAGTGAGGGTATGATTGACGCCACAGTGGTTGTTAGTTTGATGAACGTGGAGCACGAAGAGATCAGTGAGGCAGCATCGGCGAGGAAGGAAGATTGGTGTAATTGCATCCTGCGGTAATGTGGCGTGATCGATCCTTCCTTTACTTTTCCAAAGAAACGTTGTCGGACACAAGAATAGTTTCAATTGCTTCTTGTGTTCTTCAGAAGGAGGACTTTCTGCCTGTGCAAACCGGAACAGTATGATTTCTGCTTTCCATAAGTGAGTCGCCTTGAAATTGCCAACATATTTGCGAGCTTTTCGGGACTTTTTCGCGATGAAGAGCAGGACGTATACCATCGTGTTCACCATCTTTTTCCAAGAACTGAACCTTGATGCGTCCAGAACAGGTGAAGTCCATTCACTTGCAGTGGTGAAGCAGCATTCAGTCGACTTTGTTGGTGATTCATCATTCGCAACACTTGGTATGTTTCCATAGGTAGGAGCTGGAGGATTTTCAGAAGAATTGAACACGTCACTGGGCCAACTAGCCTCATCGTTTGTCAAGAAACTTGGTCCTTTCCACCATGATGTCGACTCAAGCAGTTCTTGAAGTGTTGCACCGCGGCTACCGATGTCTGCAGGATTGACGTTTCCAGGAATGTGCCTGACGGTGACGTCAACCGTGTTTTGTAAGATAACTTTAACACGGTTTTTGACGAAAATCGGAAGGTCCTTGTTACATCTGATCCATGTCAAAGCTACGCTGCTGTCAGTCCACAGGAATTTTCGACTAACGCGAACATCCAGATGTTGTACGATGTAGGTGAGAAGCTTCGAACCGATCATCACGGCGGCTAGCTCGAGCCGTGGGATGGTAATGGCGTGATGTAGAGGTGTGAGTCTGGATTTGGACATTAGGAGAGATGTTGCTGATACGACATCATTGCATCGTTGCACGAGATAAGCTGCAGCGCAGTAGGCGGTGGCTGAAGCATCGGTGAAGATATGAAGGTCATATTCGACTTTTGAATTTTGATCCATATTGAATATTCGTCGAGGAATGCATAATCCTGGAGGATTCCATGAAGAGCTTATGCGCTCCCAGTTAGTGCTACATTCTGGTGGAAGTAGCTGGTCCCAAGGAAGTTCCATCTTCCAGAGCGATTGTAGGAAAATTTTTCCAAGGAGAATCGTCGGCGAAAGCAGTCCTAGTGGGTCGTAAACGCTAGCGACGTGTTTCAGCACTTTACGTTTGGTCCACTTAACATCACTTGTCGGTTGGGAGGGCAACCGAATGAAGAGTGTATCACGTTTAATATCCCATTGGAGACCGAGCAGTTTCTGAACTTCTGAGACTTTGCATCCTTCGTTGATTTCGAAGTGTTCGTTGAGCTCTTTTGAATTGCTTGAGTATGCACGTAGATTCATACCTGCCGATTGAAACAGCTCTTTGGACTGCTTGTAGAATTCTCGACCTTCTTCAACGGTATTCACGCCTTGAAACACGTTGTCGACGTAGGTATTGCGGAGTATTCCAACCGAGACTGGAGTAGCTGTAGATGAGAGATGGTAATGGATTGTACCTGCCAGGAGGAACGGGGAGCTGACCAGTCCAAATGGTACCCGAGTAAACCTGTAGGTGACAATGTTGTCGTTTTCAAGAGATTTTGATGGGTCCTTCAGCCATAAAAATCGTGTGAAGTCTCGACATTCTGTATTCAATCCGACCATCAAGAACGCTTTCTCGATGTCACTGGAAATGAGTATCTTCTGAAATCTACATCGAAGTAGTATACCTGCGAGGTCTGGCAGAAGTACTGGACCGCGATATAGTATATCGTTCAGGCTGGACTGTCCTACGATCTTGGCAGAACCATCATACACGCATCGGATTTTGATGTCCTTTCCGTCTCTCTTTACTACTCCATGATGAGAAAGGTAGTGCGATGGTTTTGAGAGATCTTCAGGTGGGACTTCCTCAATTATTCCTTGTTGCACTTGGTTCGCGATCACAGCATGATACTTTTCCATATAGTCTGGCCTTTGTTGGAGGGACTTTATTTGAGAGCGGAGTCTTGAGAACGCGAGAGAAAAATTGTTCGGTAGCTGTGAAGGATCGGCTTTGAATGGCAGCTTGACGACGTATCGCTTTTGGTGCTCGTCGTAGAAGATGGTGTCGTTAAAATAATTGAGGCAGTCGTCATCGTCGTTCTTGGTTGGATCGTCAGTTATCCCGACCGTTTCAAGTTTCCAGAAGTTGTTGACGAGTTCGGCGAGTTCGTCATGATTGCGCGGATTATCCAGGTTTTCGTTCGAAATGACAGATGTGTAAACGTCTGCATGCGCAACGTCGAGATTCTCATTTATGATGACGTCACCGATAGTCGTATGGAGAAGGCGATACCCATTAGGAAGCATACGGTAAAAGAAATCTTCAGAGAGGACTATGTCCCAAAAATAATCGTTCCCGATAAGAATGGACGGCTTGCAATTGGTGAAAGTGAAGCTTTCAAAAGGAATCTCTCGATTGAATTGAATTTGCAAAAGATCTCCTGTGAGAGTGGGAACTGACTTCACTTGAAGGTGCTTCGTTCCTTTTGTTGTGAATAATCCGACCTTGTGTTTCGTGCATCTAAGCTTGAGTAAGTTTGTTGATCCGAAGGTGGATATCGTGGTATCTTCCACTGCAATGGCTGGCAGATTGAGGCGATTTGCTGCTTCGTCTGTGATGTAAGATTTACTTGAACCTGAGTCGAGGAAGGCTGTAACGGTGATCCTTTTTGAGGAGTCGAGTGGGTTGAAAAGACTCACTTGTGTACACATCAGTGCAGCTTGGGACGTTGGAGAAGCTGTTGCCAGTGATTGACTTGATGAGTAGGTGGCGATTCCTGGATTTGCTTCTTGTTGTAACGCTGATTCAGGAGTATCGGAAACTGGAACGGCTTCCGGAGGTGAAGGTGAGTTTGCGACGTTGACCGTATGAGAGAGCGGTTTTGGTGGACGAAGACGTTTAGGAACACTTTTTTCCTGGTTATTTGTTGTCGCTGAAGTAAAGTGTGGTTGGAGAGCTCGGAATGGGAGTCGCGGATCGGACTGACGACATAGTGAGGAATGATGCCTTTTTGAGCAGTATCGGCAGGAATATTTTGACGGACATTCTTTGGAGGGATGTATTGAAGAAAGGCAATTGAAACATAGGCGAAGAACCTTTGCTTGAGCACTCCGTTGTTTGATCGAGGTGAAAATATTGCACTTCATAGCGTTGTGGAGAGTAGAATTGCAGTACGGACAGCTTTTCGTTGGTTTCTTCGGAGTATGTCCTTCTTCCGTGGAGCGTGTAGTGGCGGAATTCGAAGTTGGACGCAGAGTACGAGCATTGGTGTGGAAACCGTAGTCGATATGCTTGGTATCAGCGCTTCGTCGTGTGTGGTATTCAATTTCGAATAGTGTGGAATCTTTTCTGACGATGTCCGTGAGAAGGTGAAGTAGCTCGCTGGGAGTAACGTTGTGGCTATTCGAAGTTCTGTCGTAGATCTGACTGCGTACGCGTAGTGGTAGCTTGTTGAGAAGAAGTGCACCGAGAGCAGTTTCTTTGGAGTCGTCGTAGCCGTTGCAGAACTGACGAACAAGAGAAAACATCCGATTATAGAGAGTAGGAAGATGACGACCTTCAGGATCGCATGCTGGAAGCTGAGCCAGCTTGGTGAAAAGTATATGCCTCATAGTGACCTTGTCATCGTAGTGGGTTTTGAGGATGTCGACAGCTATTCTGTAGTTCGCAGATGTCAGTGATAATCCTTGAACAGACTGAAGAGCGCGACCGCGCAAGCAGGACTTTAGCAGCGAGAATTTCGTAGTATCGTCTAGTTGTGACTTGTTGTCCACTAAGGTAGCAAAACGTGCCCAGAATTCCGGGTAGTCGAGAAGATTGCCATCGAATGTAGGAAGCTCCAACTTGGACAGAATGGAGGCGTCGACGAAATTGAGAAGCGTGGGGTCGGGGTGAAGTGCAGATGAAAATGGGATCATGCCAGATTGGTGTACAGAGGCAGAAGTGGGATTCCAGTGTCTTTCGTTGTCGTCGTGGGAAGCGGTGTCGGAGGAGTCTGACGGAATGTGGAGATTTCTTTTGGAGTATTCATGGTCGAGTGCGTTCATCAGGTAGTCGAGTTGTTCGAGTTGGTTCACTGCAGCAGTTATTGATTCACGGTAGTCGCCATATTTAGCAATATATTCGTCAAAATTGGTAGTCTCAGTTGCTACAGATTGCTGTAGGATTGTCCATTCGTCATGTAGCTTTGTAATTTTTTCGTAGGAGTTCAGAAGGCTTTTTCTGACGGTGATGATCTTCATGGCGAAATGTTTCTAGTTCGTCGGTGTCGAGGTGATCCAATTGACGAGTTTCGGGTGAGACCAGATAGTCTTTTAGAATCGAAGTCGAAGTGTCGATATGGCGTTGAAGTAGTTTTTTGAAGAATCCGATTTGGCGTCGTATTTGGGCACTGTCGTGCGGAGGTGCCATTTGGAGGATATGACGTACAGTAGTTGAGTAAGATTAGTGAGACGAGAGGGGCAGGAAGTAGGTTGACGTTGAAGATCGTCGACAATTTCTTTGAAGCTGCAGGTCGTTGCGAGTTGTCGTGGTCGCCAGATGTTGTGGACGTAGAGACTTCGACGAAGCTTTATTGTCTTGACATAGACTTGTAGGGGAAATCCATCGTTCTCCTACACGGCGGGTTTATATACCAAGCACAAAACTAATATTCTCGAAGCTAGTCAAAATATGGCATTCCTTAAAAGATGATGATTAAGCTTTTTTATGCTTCATAGAAGAAGAATGTGAGAATATTAAAATCTGATTCATCAGGAAAATCTTTTATGGCTTTGGATGATTCAGAAGATTTTTAGAATTTCGTACCCTTATTCTGCAAAACTGCAGAAAACTCCCGCAGCGAAAAAACATGTTAATGATGCTTCTTGGAAAATTTTGGAGTCATAGCGAGCATGAGAGAGCGACTAATACATCGGATTATCATAATCATCACAAGCACAGTCAATAGAAAGGAAAGTATAGCTTTTGTAAGGAAGTTAATTGGAAGCAGATCTGGAATTTTACCGACAAATTCTTTGAACTTGTTAGGTATTTGACTCAAAAATGTGGTATCTCTTGGAAGATCTCTTGTCTTTGCCTCCGATTGCAAGTTGTCTCTGATGAGGTCGTCGTCAACGTAGAGAAGTACTCCCTTCACTGCCAAGGAAACAGTTCCTCCGGGACAGGAAGCATTGCAAATCATGGAGACAGATGAAGTGTCGAAGTGGAATTTGAGAATGTTGAGGTATCCCGATGAAGTGCAAAGCGCCATTTGTGTTTGAGAAGGGCACTCGATATTAGCGGTTGTTTCAGTTCCGCTCGATTGACAGTAGAGAGTTAGTTCCGCTCCTGCAATACAGTTGTAGCAACCAACAAGGTCACTTGCCTCTATCGTACAGGTACTGTTGGATTGGCGAGCTGTTATTTTCATGTTTTCGGCCACTATATGTAGTTGTAGAGCAGATCCAATGTTCGTTCTGGCATACACTTTCTTATCTTCTGAAAAGATCTTAAAGTTTTTCGAAACCAGTGGCAAAGGCGATGGTTGCATCAAGTCTGCTACGCTGCCGGAGCTACATGAACAGGAGGCTTTATATAGTCCATGAGTGCACTGACAGGCGTTGATTGCGAACGAGCAGTTAAACGTGTCGGCGTGTTCCTTCGTTGAACACTTGAAGCTGTCCCGCACTGTGAGGTGAAAGTTGTCCTCGATGAGCAGGCTTGATCACTGAGATGGAGTAGTCGGTTTCCGCGAATGTCGACGACAATATTGGTAGTTGGGGGACGACTGTCCCTATGAGACTGAACTTGAGATTGTTCCAAGCGGAAATTTGACCTGGGTGAAGTTGAATTGTAGTTGATACGGTCGAATCTTTTTGCCGGAGCGTTGCTTCCAATGTGACAACAATTTCCCAGCTTGGGCATGTAAATATTGTATAGATCGTCGAAGTGGTCGGAACTGCATATACTCTATAAAAGAGGCAACTTTTTTCGCACAGAAAGCAGCCGTCGCATGTTAGACATCCGCAGCTTGGTGTGCAAAAAGTGTATCCAGGGTTATTATTCGCCTCGAATGAAAATTCTTTGCTTTTCTCGGTTGGTGACATATTCTCACACGTACTTCTATCGCATGTTCCTGCCGAGTAGCATCTGTGCACAGATTCGGATACAAGTTGATGATCTCGTGTGAAAAATTCCACATTTCTTCTGCACTGGAACAGAATACCGTTGATTTTCACTGAGATTACGCCGATAGGTTGGCTTTCATGATCTTTCAGAGCGATGCAGGTTTCCTGTTGCAGGGGCTGTAGCGTGACGACCATTGCTTCGTTGAAAGTGCAAGTTTCGATATCATTCGATATGATACAGATCTCTTCGTGAGCATTCATAGAGACGACTTGTGAGCATCCTTTGGATAGGTGAAGAAGTGACTTGCGAGTCCTGAGTTTTCGTCGACGAGAGGTGTATCTTCGTAGGTTCGGCGATTTTCGGTGGAGTTTGCAAATTGCGACAGTTCCGCACATGGTATCAGTATGACGGAGAGTAGTGGCAAAGTTATGAAGAACATGGTTTCCAAGGAGAGTCCAACATTGTGAGTTGTAGATTCGTTTCCAACAGAAAGTACATCTGAGTGTCTCACAAATTGGGTGAGCTTTGCAGGATACATGTCCGTTGTGCCTGAGTTTATCGTTTTCGTAGGCTTTGATTGAAACGGTATAATCGTACATGATGAGAGAATTTGGGAAGATTATGGCTTCCTTCGTTAGCTTCTTGTGTACTTGCGTAACTCTTTCCTCTAAAAAAGCGTTAAGGGCGCCTCCAATACCCCGCAATGCGGCGACCGGGAAATTCCCTGTGAGCAAGTGGGGCAGGGCCGCCTTCGCTCCCTCAAGAAGCCAAGACCACCAGGGGTCTGGCCACGTACCCGTGACGGTAACGCCACCAAGCGGTGTTCCGGGGGGCATCGCCGTCTTAGTAACAAGTACACTATTGTTGGATTTCGTAGAGAAACGAATTGGCGGAGGGTAATGTTATGCCTGTGATCTCAAGGCTCTTCTTCTTCCCATTCGCGTGCTGAAGTATAATCACGCCGTCACGCCAGTTGCCCACCCTTGACAGATCAAACAACATCGTACTGACACCAATGTCGGCCAGCACGGCAATATCTGAATCGCGTGATGACGCGTACACTCCGAAGGTCGTCTATGTCCGATGAGCCAATGGTTGCCGTTACATCCATCAACGCTTGCCATTCGGTTGACCGGGATGCCAACCATCCCCACAGTTTATGGACGACGCCTCCCATCGTCTCTGTTGTAGGCCTATATCGGTACTGTAAACTGCCGGTATCTGCATCTGGTACTTAACGACCAGATATTTCATCATCCACCAGGGGCACCAGCTCCACACCATATGATGAGTGTCATGGCGCAGCGCCCACCTTCCTAGCGCCCTTGCCCACATAGGGAATGTGAGCCAATCTTCGCGTGGCTTGATAACATGTCCCAGGAAAGCAGCATCATATAGGTGGTCGATGTAGTCTCTTTGGAACTGGTCGGGAAGTGTCACACATGACCAAGTCGTCCATGGTACCCCAGTAGATGCCATCTCGCTGTGCGGAGTGGGTCTCCAGGCTCTACCAGTCGTGCAAACCTAGCTAGTCTCACGTCCGGGGTTGCTTCACCAACAGCAAACTGCACCTCCTTGTGGATCTTCTTGATCTTAATTCCATGCTCGTTGAGAGGGTAAACGGTTGATGCCCTTAGCTGACAGTGGGGCATCATTCTGACTATGTCCATCTCAATGATGTTCTGCGACACTGCAGTTGAAGATGTCATATCACCAAGCCACCGCTGCGTCGTATTGGGTGGTTGTAAATCCCCTCTTAAGCGCCAAGATGCAATCTCGGCTTGCCTAGCTTCACGTGCCCTATGGGGTAACATCACCGACCGTGACGCGCACGCCACTATTGCCAGTGCCTCGCTGGCGCACGTTGCCGTTGCAATGTGCTCCTGCAGCCATCGCCATGCCGTAACGACGTGTTGGCGGCAACGTTCTCCGGACACTAGGAGGGCAGGGTTCAACATGGTCACAGCCCTCAAGTACGGTAGTATTTCAACGGTTTGTAGTGCACCCTGTTTCCATATGGGAACCACAATGCTTAATTGTTGTGAAGCACCAACACCGAGCCTGTCCATCTGCTGTTTCGAGGTTGCATCGACGAGTACGTAGAGCACATGTAAGGGCCCATCCAGATGTACACGACTAGCCCACGGCTCAATCCACGCCTTACGACTACCCTCTTTCGGCTCAGGGCCCTCTATGGGGACGTTGGCACTCGATATTAGCGGTTGTTTCAGTTCCGCTCGATTGACAGTAGAGAGTTAGTTCCGCTCCTGCAATACAGTTGTAGCAACCAACAAGGTCACTTGCCTCTATCGTACAGGTACTGTTGGATTGGCGAGCTGTTATTTTCATGTTTTCGGCCACTATATGTAGTTGTAGAGCAGATCCAATGTTCGTTCTGGCATACACTTTCTTATCTTCTGAAAAGATCTTAAAGTTTTTCGAAACCAGTGGCAAAGGCGATGGTTGCATCAAGTCTGCTACGCTGCCGGAGCTACATGAACAGGAGGCTTTATATAGTCCATGAGTGCACTGACAGGCGTTGATTGCGAACGAGCAGTTGAACGTGTCGGCGTGTTCCTTCGTTGAACATTGAAGCTGTCCCGCACTGTGAGGTGAAAGTTGTCCTCGATGAGCAGGCTTGATCACTGAGATGGAGTAGTCGGTTTCCGCGAATTGAATTCTCGAAGCTAGTCAAAATATGGCATTTCCTTAGAAGATGATGATTAAGCTTTTTTATGCTTCATAGAAGAAGAATGTGAGAATATTAAAATCTGATTCATCAGGAAAATCTTTTATGGCTTTGGATGATTCAGAAGATTTCTAGAATTCCGGTACCCTTATTCTGCAGAACTGACAGCAAATAAGTGGCAGCAGCACCGTTGTGTCCGTTGATGAACCTTTTGATTACGACCCCCTCCCAACTCTCATCGGAGCAAATACGACCCCCTGTCGAGGATTTCCTCGACCGTTATTCACCCTGTGAAAAAAGATTAACATTTTGATGAAGGACTTCGTCACGTGTGGTGCATGGTCTGCAACCGATACCTCGCGTTTCGGGAGGGAGGGATACTTAATTTATTAGGTTGTCTCATAAATAGTGTCGCTTTTTTTCAAACCAAAAATTTTCTTCTAAATCCTCCATGCTTTTACACCATGTTATATACCATTCGAAAGAGAATTGTCTGCTCTACAAGATGCTATGTTCTCTTCCACTCTGTTCCAGGGTTTTCAAATTTTAGGTGCGAAATGGGAGGTCCAGCCGACAAAAATTGACCAAACCGACAACTATCTCTAACTTTATCTTCCCTTGGAGAAATCAATCAATGATGTACCCTCTACTTATGCATGACCTCTTCTAAACATTACACTATTAGGTTTCCCAACAAGTCGCGTCGTTCCATTTCCAGACCTGGTTTTTCAACCAGAACTCGACGGTCGAGCACCATTACCTGAGATCTAGGTCGAAATTTTTTTACAGCCGAGACATTGAAAAACTAGTAGAATTTAAAGAACAAGTCATGACTAAGTTAGGAATGTACGCCTGGTTGATTTTCTCATCTTCTCAGGGATAATTTTTTTCAAAGAAATGCGGTCACTTTCGTGGATAAAGCACCTTATTCCTAAACACCTAAAATTCGAACTAATTCCCAACAAACATAAAAACAAAACAAATGAGCGAATAGAGCAGAAGAAGTGCTCACAAAAGGAACACCACTCGATATGAAACAATGGCGTTTACGAGGAACAATTTTAATTTGAAAATTGCTATGGCTTATCGGTCAGCCAATTCGAAAAGAAACACGGCAAAGCTTTTTCGGCAACCTAAGAGTGGAATGTTCAGAAGAGGTCATGAGTAAGTAGAGGGTACATCATTGATTGATTTCTCCCAGGGAAAATAAAGTTAGAGCTAGTTGTCGGTTTGGTCAATTTTTGTCGGCTGGACCTCCCATTTCGCAGGCCTAAAATTTGAAAACCCTGGAACAGAGGTGGAAGAGGAACATAGCATCTTGTAGAGCAGACAATTCTCTTTCGAATGGTATATGACGATGTAAAAGCATGGGATTTAGATGAAAATTTTTGGTTGAAAAAAAGCGACACTATTTATGAGACAACCTAATATTTTAGCACGGGAACTCTCACGTGGAAGTGGGTGTTTATGTGAAGAGCAAAAGTCTTCCCCCTCATCAAATCTGTTCTTTTCCTTCATCCATGATAAACGTTGTATTCTTTCGAAACGGGAGGCATTCTCGCAATTTCGCCTTGCTCGAAATGTTTCAAGGAG